GGTGCGACCCGAGTGCTTGCTCCTGCTGCTCGGGCACGGCGCATCGCCCTGCTTGCAGGACAGTGCCGGGAATACCCCCCTCGACACCTTGCTGCAGCAGATTTCCCACACGCCGGCAGTTAACACGCGTGCCAAGCTCCTCTGCCTCGACTGCCTCTTCTTCTTTGTGCCTCAGGACCTCCAGTTCTCAATGAAGCAGCAACTGTTGGACAACCGGCAGCGGTGGCAGGACCTCCTGGGGGAGAACAGGTTGCAGTGCCTGCTGGGCTTAGCTCCCCCGTCACTGTTTGTCGGAGCCATGCGTGTCTTGATCAGGACCATTTCACCTGAGCATTTCCCAGAGGCTCTGGACAATCTGCCTCTGCCTCAGTTTCTAAAGCCTTTGGACTTGAAACTGGAGAGCTAGAGAGGTGGTATGAGAGTCTCCTGCTCACCTGACAGAAATAGACTGTTGTGCTAAAAATGTATTGGTATACAAAGCTGCTCATGCGGCAGCCAAGTATCCATTTTAATTAGAACTGTATTTTTTAAAAGAATTGTATCTGGCACTTTACAATATATTTTATTTAAAGATCCTTGTGGTGAGGTGGTCTGCACTGCATTTTATAAAAACATTCTATGGCATGTACAAATGAGGGTATGTGGGAGAATATATTTGTAAATACATCTGAATAAACCAGTGGCAGATGTGATCAAAATACAAATTGAGCGACTGAAAACTCTGAAGTGGCATGTGCCTTGGGAAAGCATATGCGGGGTGGGGGAGTATCTTTTCGTTAGGATTTCCCTGTTACATAAGTGTCGCGGTCCTGGAACAGGATGACTCCTTTTTTACAGCTCTCCTAATACATCTTGGCAGGGATGCAGGGTTTTTTTAAAGGCACAGATGAAAACTTCCTCATCTTGTACACAAGACCAAAGAGAAGCCAGATACTATTAAAACTTCCCTAAATAAGGCTGGCAGGGATGTGCAGCTGAACAAAATATGTTTTAAAATATGCATAAATAACAGTTGGTTTCCTTGCGAAGTTCTCTCTGTTCCCCTTGGTGAGCCGCGGTACTTGTTGTCGGGCAGAGGAGAGCCTGAGTACACACGTTGCTCTGGCCAAAAGTGTTCCTGCCCTGGCAGGAGGCAGGAATGGGCCCTGCAGCCACTCTGTGTGATTGCTGCAGGGTGAGGAGGGTAGCACAGAGCAAGAGGGCCAGCCTCCTTGTGCCTTCCCTCTGCTATGCCCAGAGGGGTTTATGTAGGTATGGCAATGGCCCAGGTCCCTAGAGCAGCTTTTTTCAGTGGATTCCGGCCCCTGCGCTGCCAGTCCCCAGCAGGATGTGATGGCTTAGGTTCAGCTGAGAGCGCTGTGGCAGTCTTGGTGTCCACTCTGGGTACCAGAGGAGTAGCTATGATATCTGGCCTTCCCCCAGCTATCCCTTCTGAGATGCTCCAAGGTACATAAAACATCTTCACAGCTGCTCCAGATCAAAAAGCCCTTTAGGGATAATGTCCTGCCTCCAACACTTGCGTTTAGACACATCAAAGTCCTGAGCAAAGGCTTCTTTGCTCTGCAACCTTTACTCTACAGCATTCTGGGCAATCACGCTGTGACAGCCCTGTAAAACTGGCACTGCCCCTGCCTGCTCTGCAGGGAGCGAGCTGCGCCGGCTCCGCCAGCATTGCAATGATAGAAATCTCCTAGGCCACAGCGCTGTAGCTTTGTGTCTGTTGTTGGAAGTTGTCAGTGAAACTGCAGGGTTTTGTTTCAGTGCTTAAAGTTGTAGCCAGGGAGTTGTTTGCCACTTGAACTATTTCAGCACTGTTGTTCCCTTTGGGGTCATCAAGGAACTGATGTGCTCAGAGAGAAGAGGCCATGTTCAAGGCACAGATTTCTTTATTCGTGAATTAATTTTGGTTAGGAAAAAAAAAACCAGAATGAGGCACTGTAAGCTGTTCATGCTTCAGCAGAACAGAGTGGTATTTCATCTAAAATAACCTCCATACTGCATGCACAATAAAAGATAAGCCATACTTCTGAAATTTGAGATGCAACAGAAAGAAGATTGCTATTCTTAGACTGCTGGCACCGAAAATGTTTCCTAGAAAAGCAAATGTTCCTTTTTCCCAAGAAACCAAGCTGATATGTGCTCAAACTAATTACCATGGGAAATGTAGGTCCCTTGCTAGAAAGTATAGAACAACTCTAACTGTTCTCTTCAGTTACCTTGTTGATAATGAAAATACAGAAATCCAAAGAACTAACCCCTCGCTTAGCCGCTTAATAAAAAAATTTTGAAAATCTATGTTGCTAAATTCTTTATTTGACTACACATTCCCCATTGCTTCTGTAATAACGTGTGTGGAGGCATCTTCCAAAACCAGATGAGAAGTAAAGCAGTCAGGTCTAACTTGCACATGCAAAAGTGTCTTGAGGTGGGGGAAGAGACAGAGCTGGGGGTGGGAGGAAAGGATTATCAGCCTTGCTGACAAAGACATAATGAGATTCAGCAGTGGGGAGTTGGTCAGTTGAAGCGAGCACTGGAAGACGCTCCAGCTCCCAAGCTGTGAGGGTAATTACACATTGGAACCGCATGACAGGCTGGGCAGGACATCCTACACCTTAAAATAAGCCCGTTAACAAACAATAATGCAAGGCCAAAGCTGCCCCTGTGATTCCCTACAGCCCTCCCACCAGCTCTCGGGTAATTCACTTTAACAAACAGAAAGGGTCCCCTCAATATGTTGTGATGGGTCCAAAGTCAGCTAACTGCTGTGCCCCTCCTGTTATTCTAGCACAGAAGTCAAGCCTGTTGCCGAGCCCGTGCTGGGATCACTCTGCTGAAGGTCACTGACGGACCTTGCTACATGTGGCTTATAGATGTGTCTGGAATGCTTAATCTGGAGAGGCTGAGAGGGACTGTGGGCAAACTACACTGGTGACTACACAGATCACTCACCCAACTGGGTCCAGGCTTGTTTTTCAAACAGAGTCACAGCTTGGAAAAAGGCTGGGGCTTCTCGGCTTTGGAAACAGAAGTCCTTTGTTTATAGACCGAGCAATAGTGGCATCAGCTTTCCTCAGACTGACTTGCCAGCATGTCTCTGTCCTCTGCCACCTTTGGAGCACAGTGGAGTGCAGGCTCCACAGCCTGTTCAGTTCTCCGTCTCTTGGTGAAGGCTGCCAGCAAAAATGCCAATTAGTGCCAGCTGCAACACCATTGACAAGCTTAGTAAAGCAAGCACGGACAGTCATTATGTCTCCGCAGAAGAGGACTGCCAGTGCTAGTCAGGGAGCTGGCCACAAAGGTGTGGGAAAGAAGATTCACGGAGTCCTAACACCATGAGAGCACAGGGGCAAGGATATATACGTAAAAGCTTCTGTCTTACCTGCACAGGTTAATCTAGTCACACAAGGCGAATTACTCGTCTGTACGAAATGCTTTCAAAAGCATATAAGGCAGTATATAGAGGCAGCATTCCTGAAAAGCTTAGTTTCAGACAGTTCCTCTAAAAGGCTACTTTCTATCATGAAACAGTGATGAAATGTAATAAATACTTCCCATGTGTTGCTCAAGCACTTTCAAAACAAAATATTCCTACACTACCCACCTTTTAGTACAAAGTGGGTTTATATGTTGTGACAGGTAAAAAAGGCCTGAAACACTTTCATTCCAAAAGCAAGGGGAGAGAATAACCACTGTGTTACTTTTATATTTGACTCTTCGCAATTGACTCCTCTCTGCAGCTCCCTTAAATATTTCAGGAGTTACAAAGTTTAGCCTGTCCAGAGTCTGCTGAAGGAGCTGAAGTCTACCGTAATTTTGAGTAACTCATTTAAAAGATGAATTTGGGATCTTTAAGTCTTCTTTTACCCAAAATATCAAGTAGTTAAAGTATTTAAATTGTTGTGAACACAAAACTAGGTGGTTTAAATAGTCTAAAAAAATCCCTTACTATAACATTTGTCTCAGTCTTGCTCTCTGACGTACTGTCCTGTCATAAAAGCTGCATCCTTGTTCTTGCCATGGTCACAGCCTGGTACGAGCATTGCCAGAGGTGGGCACCTTAAATTTAGCGGAAGAAGCAGGTATTAAGTACACCTGAAAATCACTCCCTTCATGAATATGCATAGATTTGGAACATCAAGCCTAGCATCAGTTTAACACTCAGCACCGCACAAAGAATATCTGCTGCAAATAACTAAAGCTTTCGCACAGCTTCAGAGGGAGAGGATGAGGACTGTTAATGAACAGGCTCCGTGTGGACAAGTCTTGCAAATTAAACCAAACAGGCAGGCATAAAGCAAAGGAGAAGAGCAAGCAGGAAACCATCAAGAGCACGACCTGCCGGGAGAGGAAGCCTTGGCTATAGGTATGACTGTAATTACAGGCTGGTTTAAAATGAAGTTGAAAACAGCAAGGACAAAGATCCAGCACAGAGGCATGGAAAGACAGAGACTAGAAACGGGCCAGGGTGCCAGGTTTGTTTCCTAATCCCTATTTGTCCTATGTCTGGTGTTCAAGTCGTATGGGTTTTTGACTTGCAATATAACAAATCTATTGACATCAGCAGATCATTGTGCATTGCATCACCCCGTCTTCAGATCGGTGTTCCCAACTAGACAAACAAAGCACCCATGCCATGTGCTTAATATTTAAACAGCACTGTAAATCCTTGCAAACCAACTTTTGTAACACCTATGTTAATAACAGTACTTCCATCGCTGGTTGGTGTCAGCAGCTGTCTGAGGTTAGATCACCATTACTTCCTAGCCTGGCTTCAGTGGTCTCTCCTCCACCTACAATGTGTGAAAAAGAAACTCTGCCTATTACTTGCTCAGACCACATCAAACTGACCTATATTATCACACACAAGAATCACATCTATGGTGTTGCAAGGCTGCTGCTTGCACTGCTTTACTCCTGCTCTTTTCCACCAAGCAGGTACACATGCATGTGTAGCACAAGAACAGAAGGAGCAGAACTCTCTTGCAAAACATAACTCATCAGTCATAGCAGAAAACAGAAGTACAGTTTGCAAAGACATCAGAGATCCCTCACTGCTGCTAAAAGAAATGGATCCAAGTTCAGCTGGGATAAAAGGGTTCCCCCTACTTGCCCTGATGACCTCTGAAAGGAACGGTATCTCTTTGCCCAGTGGTTTACCTGATAAATGGAAAGACCACATAAATCACAAAGCAAATCTTTACAAGCCTCAAATGATGAGAAACTCATCACGTTTAGGAATTACTGCTAAAGTCAGAAGAGTCTAGTCATCTAGTCTAAATTGTGTATGACACAGGTCAGCAGTTCCCATGTTGGGCCTGTCACATCTGGTTGATTTGCAGCATCTGCTTTAAGTCCAACTTTGTTTTATAGATTTTTGAACAGCGGAGCATCCAAGACTCTCTGAGGAACTTGTGGCTGAGTCAAGCAAAGGTCCCATCCAGATCGCCTCAATCTCTCGTCTGTCCCTAAACCACAAAACATCCCCTGCCATCAACCCTGCCTCCTTCTTCTGTAGGAAAAATTAATCACTTCCTAATGCAAATGCGAGAATTGACCAGAATGGATCTGAGTCAGCAAGGAGGGAGGCAGAGACCCACTTCAGAGAAGCAGGGAAGGCAGAAAGGGGCTTTGATCTGTCCCACGCTTGGGCTTCAGCTCTGCGAGCAAGGTTTCAGCAAGAGTCTGAGCCAGTAAGTCAG